CAAGAGTTCGTATGTCAGGGGCGGGGAACGCTGTGCATTATCCAATAGCAATCTGAGTCTGGCGTATTTTAAAAGAAAACACAATGCTCTATTTGAAAACACGGCTGTACGGACGATTCGCGATTGGTCACTAGCGCGTTTATTCCACAAGATGTCGAATTGGATAACGCGACCTGATCCCCTGCAAGACTGAGCAACAGACCAGCTTACATTTAGCTAAACCATGTTCGTTAGTGTGCAACATGAAAGCGATCGAGAAAATATAAGTCGGGTAGCCAGAAACGCAAAGAACAGAAAAAGTTCACTTTAAACTTTTCCTGATTGCTTACTGGACACTGTCCTCAGTAAGACAGGAGAACGTTTTTCTTTCTTGAGCGAATTCAGCCGTCTTTTTGGCATTTTGACAAAAAAATACCGGAGATAATTCAACTGAAACCTGCAACGAACTAGCCTTGTTTTTAGGAGACATTCATGGCGGAGATCTGGCAACTGAACTAAAGTTTGTCTCAGCTGCTCCCCAGTGAAGTCAACTCTCCGTCTGAAGCACTGCAGTATTTGGACAAAGAAAGATATGAAATCTGCGTTTCCGAACACAGCGATAGCATGTCTATAGAGAACAGCACCGCAGGGCCGGTGGATTTCAGGGATGTCATCGCTAACTTTGCTCCGACTAAAGCGCGACGAGTCAAGTTGAAAACTTTTAAAAGAACTAGTTACTAAATATTAGTTCAGTATGTTAGCCCGTTGCCCGTTTGAAGTCTGCTCTTGCTCCGTGTGCACTGGCGGAGGGAGAAGGAAGCCGGGGGTCTTTTGAATTGCACCAGGGCCGGTACAACCCATACTTGGGTCCGGGTACACATTACCATGAGTTCACATTCCTGTCTGATCTCACCTGTATGTCTGTATCACTACCAGGAAGATTTACTCGGTCTCTGTTCCACAGGGATCAACGAATCTACCAGAACAGAGGTCGTTTACGCTTCAGCTTGCTTTCAACAGGAATAACGACACTCCAGATGTATTTGGGAAAGTTTCGTGAGAGATGTCCAGGGGGAGGTCGGGCTTTCCCCGCCTCGGGGAGGGTCCGCCCCCTGGCTGAGGGAGGAGAAACTCGGGACCCCCCTGCAGAGAGAGGAGTGACCAAGGTGCGCCGCGCAGGTGGAGCAGAGGTAGAGGACTGACGCAGATCAGCTACGACAGCCGACAGCAAAGAACATGGCTGCCGCCGTCACTCCAGAAGTTTTGTTAAGACCTTTACAGAGCTGCTGGGCGATTAAATCATTTACCTGCTGCCCTTAGACTTCTGAGCGCCCCAACCCTCCTCCCCCCCATCCTCGTACTGCTGGAGAAAGATCTCTCCAGCTCCTGACTCGTATCCCGGACCATTCGCCATTCCCAGACTGCGCTCCAGTGAGGGAACTCTGCTCACAGCCCTGCAGGTGGACAAAGGGGGTGGAGCTGGGATTTCTTTGTGAATTGTATAGGTGATTCTCTGGTTAGTTCTGATCGTTTCCTTAATCTTACATGTAGACTTCGTGGTCTGTCATTACTTGGTTCAGTCTCTCACCTCGTGTGGATTGGCAGAACATTAGTAATTCTCCATTTCCAAGGCACGAGCTTGAAGAATCATCAAGTGTTTCTGAATAACATCTGTTTCCTTGGGTACAATTGGTAGGATATTGTAGGTCCCTGGGGAATTAATCTTCAATTACTTCAAAACACCTCCTTCTCTCCGATAATGCAGTTTAATTCTTCTCTTCTTCTGTCTGAAGCAGAGAGCTTTTTGTTCTAAAATATTCATTTAGCCAGTTACAGTTACCCCAAAATTTCCCATTTTAATACTAAAGAAAATACGTATTTACCTTCATCTCCATTGGGATCGTTTTCTCTCCTGGCTGTTCTTGGTAGGATGGAATAAGCTGGAAGTTGGATCCTGCAGAAGAGACAGAATCATATTTATCCTCTATGAATACATAGCAAGCCTTAATTAAATAATTTTCCTAACTAAATTTCATTAATCTTTAAATCATGACAGAATATTGTATCAATATTGTTATCAATATACAGTATATTTAGAAATTAATCAAATTAATCAATTTCAATAATTTAGGTTTCTTGATTAATAATTAATTGATGATGAAAACTTGTAGAGGGCCTTTCTTCATTTTGTAGTGGCTACTACTGCTAATGGTCTCTTCTTATTCATAACCTTTCTTTTGTTCATATTTTCAACATCTGTTTTACACCTTCGAGATCTAAGCCTCTCT